CTCCAGGTCGGCGTAGCGCAGGTCGAGCTGGCAGCCCACCAGGATGACGGGGGCGCGGGGGCAGAAGTGTTTGATCTCCGGGTACCACATGGTCTTCACATGGTGCAGGGAGTTGGGGTTGGCGATGGAGAAGCACAAAACCACGACGTCGGACCTGTGAGGGGACAAGGCAGGGGTCAGGGTCCTGTTTGGGGACTCCCTCCCTGCCTGGAGCTGTGCCAGGCTGTGCCCGTCCCCACCTGCCGTAGGCAAAGCGCCTGTCCTTGTGGTGGTCACCAAAGGTGTCCCAGAGGCGCAAGGACACGCTGACATCATCTACCACATCCCGGGAGCGCTCCAGCACCTGGGGGAACAGAAACCATCCAGCTCCTCAATCCCTGAGCCTCACAGCAACAACAGCAGGGCGGGCAGACAAACAGAAACCATGAAGGACAGTCAGCCACAACCCCACCTCCTCGGGGTGCCCATGGGGTGTCTGTGAGCCCCCCAGGCTCCAGGGCAGCCCTCACCTCCTGGCAGACGCGGTACTGGTCGATGGCCCACACCGTGGGCACGTGGGTGGCGAGGAGCTGGTACTGGGTCAAGGTGGCGTTGCAGGCACGGGCACAGATGAGCCGGGTCTTGCCCACCGCGTTGTCCCCGACCACGACGCACTTGATGGTTTCTACGTTTGGCCTCTCATAATCCATGTCAGAATCCATTAATTGGGACCTGCGGGGGGAACGAGGGCTCGGCAAACACAGCCAGGACCAGCCAGGGGTGCCTCTAGAGCAGCACAAAGCAGGAGGATGCTGACACTCCCTGGCAGCTCGGGGAAGCTCTGCAGCAGCTGCCCAGCCCTCCCCAGCTCGCCGTGCCCGCCAGTCCCCTTTAAAATTTCATGTGCTGGTGGCAGTGTGGCTGCTGTGCCACGTCAGACACATGGCCTGCGTTGGATTGCGCCCTCCTCCCTCCCGGCTCATGCCTGTTCATGTGAGATGAGGCTTTTTTTTTCCTCTCCCTTCCTCCTCTTCCTTTTCTCCATCTCCAGCATTTGCAAGAGAAGCTTCCAGAGCTGCCTGACTGAGTGCACACACGGGCACAGCCTGGCTCTGCTGTCTGGCAGGGGACACTGACCTGGCCTCCTTTTCCCACCCCATTCCCGAGGGGATATTTGCTCCCAGCTAAGGGCAGCAAGAAGAAACTCCTTAGGTTTTTAGGTTTCCCAGAGGCTCAGAGGCCACAGGGATTGGGAGAGCTCCCAGGAGCTCTCCTGAGAGAGACATCAGTGCTGTGGGTGCTGCAAAGCTGATGAGCAGCACCCAGGTGTGCCCAGGTGTGCCACCCATCCCCTGCTCAAATCAGAGCCTAAATCAGCCAGAATTAACTCATCACAGCAGGAACCTGAGGGTTGATGTGGTTTCCAGGGGGGAATAGCACTGAGGGACAGCAAAAAGGACAAAAAAACCCCACATCCCAATTTCTCTCAACTTCCCAAGGCCAGGGATCTCTTCCCCCTTGGGATAACGAGAAGGACAAAAAACCCCCAGATCCCAATTTCTCTGCACTTCCTTCCCAAGGCCAGGGATCTCTTCTCCTTTGGGATATCAAGAAGGACAAAAAAAACCCCCACATCCAAATTTCTCTGAACTTCCCAGGGCCACAGATCTGTTCCCCCTTGGAATAACAAGAAGGACAAAAAACCCCACATCCAAATATCTCTCAGCTTCCTAAAGCCACAGATCTCCTTCCCCTTGGGATATCAAGGAGGACAAAAACTCCCATATCCCAATTTCTCTGAACTTCCCAGGGGCACAGATCTCCTTCCCCTTAGGATAACAAGGACAAAAACCTCAACATCCCAATTTCTCTGCACTTCCCAGGGGCACAGATCTCCTTCCCCTTAGGATAACAAGGACAAAAACCTCAACATCCCAATTTCTCTGCACTTCCCAAGGCCAGGGATCTCTTGCTCCCTCCTGGCAGCGGCCTCCCGAGCTGCTATAATAAACCACCAGCGCAGTGAGCGAAAATACCCGGTAACGATGGCAACCGAGCCCCGCACGTGGGACCACAGCTCCCCGAACCGGCAGCCTGGCAAGGACTTCCCAATGTGAGCAGCGAGCGCCTCCCTCGCTGCGCAGCCTCCCCGGGCACACCTGGGGCAGCTGGAGGCGAAGGCAGGTGGCACAAATCCAGGGCACCTCGGGTGCCAGCGCTGCCACACCGGGCACAACTTCTCTGAGTGGTTGTCGCCGCATTCCGTGCCCCCTCCACCCTTTGGGATGCAGGGAGTTCATCCCGAAGGGCATTGCAAACCAGCACAGCAGGGCAGGTGGGCTCCGTCCCCATCAGCCCCTCAAAATGCAGCTCCATCCCTCTCAGCTGGCACCCCCTGTGCCCTGCTCCTCGCAGGGATCAGCTGGGCTCTGTGGGAGCGGAGATCTCCGCGCTGGGGGGGTGTGGGTGCTTGAGGAGCTTTGCTCAGGTTATTTTTAGGCCCAGCCGCGCTCCCGAGTCAGCCGGGCTGGCTGGGATGGAGGGGGAAGGCACAGGAATGACAAGCGCAGCTGGCACTTGGGATGTTTGTCCCTCGTGGGGAGCTCAGCCCACCCCCGGCCCAGCCAGCTCGGGAAGTCTGGTGCCTCATGGGAATTAAGGGCTAAATCCTTGTGGGATCAGTGCCTGCCGTCAGGAGGGGAAGAGGGGGACAGCAGCAGGGATAAAAAGAGAATTCTCAATAAAGCAGAACGTCATTGGGGAGCTCTGCTGGCCCCACAGTGAGGGGGTCACAGCCCCTCACCCACAACACCACCCCAGGAGGGGCTGAGCCTTCTGAAGCCCCCTCCTCACCTTCCCCACCATCACTTTTCTCCTGAGAACAGCTCCAAAATCCACCGCAGAGTAAAAATAACCCGAGATTGGAGTTGCCCCCAAAGGAAAAGCTCTTCCCAGAGGAGCAGGGCTGCTCCAGCCCAAACCCCCCACCCAAACCACGGGCACCCAATAGACACCCACACCCCCCCAAAGGAGAACCCCAAAATTGCTCCTTCCAGGCTCCCAGCCCGCGGTTGCCAAGGCAACTGCACCATCACCCCGGGAGCCGTCGCTTAGCAACCCCCAGGCTCCAAATCCTCCATCCCGCACCCCGCCAGGGGAGGAGAACCCCCAAACCGGGGCCAAANCGTGCCCCGCGCCGCTCTGCTGGTCCTCCTCGCTCAGGTCCATGAGGAACAGGTCGTAGAACTTGGAGGAGGAGGTGGAGAGGTAGATCTTGTGTGCGTAGATTTTGATCTTCTCTTGCAGCACCAGGATGACGTCCGCGCACAGGGGGTCCTCCAGGAGGTGGGCCGGACGCTCCTCGTTGTTGGAAGGGGGGTCCGGGACGATGATGATGGGAGGAGGGGGCTTGGGGGGCAGGAAGGGGGCTTGGAGCAGGGGCCGCTGCACGTTGCGCAGGTGGGACTTCCAGAACTGCAGGTGGCGGCGGGAGATGAGGGCGGCACGGATGGCATTGTCAAAGACGTCCTTGACGCCGAACTGGGCCACCACGCTCGTCTCGTAATAAGGGATCCCCAGCTCCTTGGCCACCTCCCTGCCCTTCTCCGGGGGAAGGATCTCGTTAGGTTTGATTGGCCTGAAATAGATAGGAGATAATTAATGAGGAGTGTTGGGGAAGATGGAACAGGAAAGCCTTATAAATATGATTGTCTGGAAAAAGATTGGGAGAATATGGAAACTATAAGCGAGATGGAAATGAAAGCAAGCTTTGAGATCCCTCAGATACTGAACAACTGGAAAACAATGGTGTGGCTGGCTGAAGGTGATCCCCTTTTGATGGAACAACACCCTCTGCTTGCAGACAGCTCCAAGGGTCAGAGCAGACCCTACAGTTTGGCAGAAGGGGCCCAAAGAGGAGATTTTAGGATTTAAAATGTAACACAGTGTGGTAATGTAATGATTCTTATAGGCTGTATATAAATGCTGTAGGATTTGTATCTTGTACTAGATTGGTTAGTGAGAATTAGAATATTCAACACAGAAGAAGATTTACTGTATTGGAATGGGAACCTCACTCTCTTACCCTTTTTACTCCCTTACTCTCTTAGCCTCTCATCCTCTCTACCCCTCTCTTCTCTCGGGCCTGCTCTGAGCTGTGCCTGACTGCAATAAACCACACGTCCTCTGCAATAAACCACAAGT